TTTGTAATATGAACTTTATTTGGATTCCTAGTTTAAATAGAAATGTTTATTCCTATGTAAATGTTTATTCCTGTGTAATGCGTATTTGTAATAAAAATTGTATCTATATATCTTATAATTTTTCAGGAAATGATGTTGATATGACTTTTGTTTGTGTACATCATGGCTGCTGTTATTGGCTGTGGACACAGGGGTGATGGAGTTGAGGACCCACCTTTCCCAGGTGGTAGAGGTGCTGATCATCATGAGCAGGACCGTAAGTCTTATTATGAATTTTTATTTACTATTTGTATTCAATTATTATAAATTAAATACCGCTTGTAATAACTTTTAATTATATTTGTAGTTGAGCAACATAGGAAAGTCTGAGGCCAATCCCAAAATATTAAGCTTGAAAGAGCGCTCTTACAGAATAAGAGCAAACAGATTAACATGGATTATGATAGGGATATGACATATGATCCCGTAGGAGAGCCGAAAGACATGTTTGCACGAGAACTTGGAAAAATAATGTGACGGATGGTCCCTTTTGATAAATGGATTTGGAAAAAAGTTTCCCCTGCAATAAAGGATACAGTAATACAACATTTAGGGGTAAATTATTTATATAAAAATATATTATATGGTTAATTATGACTGGTTTTTACTTGGTTAAATTCTTTTTTTTGTTTGTAGACAAAGTTTGATTTTGATCAGATGTACCGGGATCTAGACGTTCTTATGTTGACAAAGAGTTTTCAAGCAGCTTTGTTAAAAGGTTACCGAGAGCGTAAAGCTGATGCAAAAGAATATTTTTCGGAAGTCGGAGGGTATGAGGATATCCGAGAGCATTAGCTAACGCTCCAGATGATATGAATGTTGATAATTGGAAGAAAACAATTGAGTATTTCCAAACGGACGAACACAAATTGCTTCAGAAAGGAACAAAAAAGTTCGTCAAATGCAAACGACTGTGAATCGTGGGGGGTCGAGCTCGTATAGCAGTACTTTCTATAAGAAGGTAACACACGATACATATAATTATTTATTTAAAATATAATCTAATTTTTAATGTTAAACAAAACCTTAAGAGAGTGGAAACATTTCACAAGGCTCATATCGATAGGGATGGTGTATTTGTTACCGTCGAGGCGGAACAACAATACGTAAGTATTTAATTATAACTTTATCATATATTAAGTGTTTATTTATACTTAATTGTTAATCACTTTTGGGAAATACAAAATCAGTTAGTGGAAGAGCTCTTAGAATAAACGCAAGGGCCAAAAGGTGAAAGAGAGTTAACACCCACTCAAGAAAGAGCTGCTTTTGAGAAAGTATTAGGAGAAGGACGTGGCGATATCAGAGGCATCGACCGGAAACCTTCTGCTATCCCGCCGATTTCACATCCATCGCAACCAACACCACAACCATCACATCCATCACAGGTAAAACAAGATTATTTAATTTCAATAAATGCATGTTGATTTGGTAATTTTTGTTTATGGTTATTGTTTTTTAAAAGCTTTGGTAATTGGTTTTTGTCCGAAGTGCAACAACTAGAAATGTACTTTGGTTTTTTGTCATAGTTTAAAATAGCGATGTACTTTGGTATCAATCAATGCATGTTGATTTGGTAATTATGCTTTTGTCCCAAGTGCAAGAAATAGCAATGTACTTTGGTTTTTTGTCTCTAGTTTAAAAATAACAATGTACTTTGGCATCATAAAATGCATGTTGATTGGTAATTTTGGTTTTTGGTGATTATTTGCTCAAAGCTTTATTAATTGGGTTTTTGTCCCAAGTGCAATAAATAGCAATGTACTTTGATTTTTTTCTCTATTTTAAAAATAGCAATGTACTTTGGCATCATAAAATGCATGTTGATTTGGTAATTTTGGTTTGTGGTGATTATTTGCTAAAAGCTTTGTTAATTGAGTTTTTGTCCCAAGTGCAAGAAATAACAATGTACTTTGGTTTTTTGTATCTAGTTTTAAAATAGCAATGTACTTTGGCATCATAAAATGCATGTTGATTTGGTAATTTTGGTTTGTGGTGATTATTTTCTAAAAGCTTTGTTAATTGGTTTTTTGTCCCAAATGCAAGAAATAACAATGTACTTTGGTTTTTTGTCTCTAGTTTAAAAATAACAATGTACTTTGGCATCATAAAATGCATGTTGATTTGGTAATTTTGGTTTGTGGTGATTATTTGCTAAAAGCTTTGTTAAGTGGGTTTTTGTCCCAAGTGCAAGAAATAGCAATGTACTTTGGTTTTTTTTTGTCTTAGTTTAAAAATAGCAATGAACTTTGGCATTGATAAATACATGTTGATTTGGTAATTGTGTTTTTGTCCCAAGTGCAAGAAATAGAAATATACTTTTGGTATATCTTGTATTTAAGTGCAAGAAATAGGAATGTACTTTGGTAGTTTTTGTTTATGTTTTATAATTGAACTTATAAATTTATATATGTTGTTATTTATTATGTAGTTCAAAAATCTTCGGGCAATACTCAACGACCTGACATGTAGGGAAGAGCCTTATGCGTTTTTTCAATCGGGGAATAATCAAGGAGGAAACGATGGGAACGGAGATGGTAGTTTGTCGGATAATTAATTTGTGTGTTGTATGTTAGACTTGTCGTCACACTTTACTACTTGTTCGAATTGTAAAACTTTGGTTGTTTATTTTGGTATGAAATTTATTATAACAATATTTGATATCTAATCGGATGTTGTTATGTAATTTTTTTTTTGTATTTAATGTTGTTATGTATTGGTTTTTTATACCCAAAATCGTTGATTAAAAAAAATTAAAAAATGAAAAATGTTATTACCGGCGACACCATCATTAGCGGCAACACCAAATATTGTCGGCGACAGGAGCATTAGTGGCGACAACTATCTTTACCGGCGACGTTTTGATTAATAGCGACAGAACAGTAGCGGCGACTTATTACCGGCGACTTGGTTACTCTTTACGGGCGATTTTTGTCGCCGCTAATTGCCTTTTTTCTTTGTAGTGGATGATATAGGCGTCTTTGATATAATCTAATCAATATATTTTACTATGAATTAATATTTAAATTAATAAAGTTGTTCAAAAAAAATTATCTTTTAGTAAAAGAAAACTAATGAACTCAAACAAAGTTAATCATGCTTATGTTTTGTAAAAATTTACAAATATACAAAGTATAAACCTGGCTTAATACCTTATCCAGATGGGGCATATAAAATCTATTTGAAAACCAAAAAATGACAACTATTGTATTTTATCTTTTGAAATCTGATGTATAATGAAAATGCAATTATTATAGTGACTGATAAATTCCAGCAGGCGGAATTCAGAACTCACATGCAAGGATTATGATGAAGTATGGTATCTTCATCCAAGATATTTGCCAGGCACTATATTTGAGGAGCATTCATTAGGGTATTCAATTAAGGAGATGACTTGGTTTTCATGAGGATCTAAGAAAATTGAACTGTTCCTTCTCCATCAATGATTAGTCTAATGAAGGTATCAGAAAACGTCGAAGAAGTCAAATCTTTACACATAAGACATTACGAAAGCTGATTAAAGAATCATTCTTAATAATTAGAGTAGAAGTTAAATCCTTTACTTAAGAAAAAAGCAAAATCTATTAAGTTAATTTTCTTGAAATACGTAACCTCTAAGTTCTATTGGTATACATGTGATTATTAGAATTCGAATTAGAAAAATTAATTATTATTTTATTTTTTGTTTCTATATATCTTCAATTCCTATTATATACATATTAAAAACCGTTTGGTTTAAGAACAATGATTAGTTTCAAGGCGAGCGGTGTCCGGTTTGGCGATTGGTTATTGGTTGGGTTCCGGTGCTAAGCCGGTGGATTTGAGCCAATTTCTTTTGCTTGTACTGTATATTGGCCATGATTTTTATTGAGTAAGAAGATGAATAGAAAGTATAAGTAGTAGGATATTTGATTTCTCTTCCAATTATATTTGATTAGATGGTCTTATTCGAAGGTTTTAAGTACTTTTGTGGCTGAATTTTTTTTCGTTTTGTTGGTATTCCAGGCTAATGATAGCGGAACCTGATGTGACTAGCAATTAAAAAAATTGCACTCAAAATTTAATTTTCTTACATTATTATTGAATAATTTTAAATTTTGTATATGTGAAACCAAGTATGTGGATAAAAAATTCGGGAGGATTTGACAAATTGTAATCAAACTTCACAGTTATTCCATCTAAGTCGCACAAATTTTGTAATAGGTTAAACTTTAAACGGTTCAATTTTAATTTGCTTCCTAAGTCTTGTTAATCTTTTTATCTTTGACCCAAAATTAAATTGATTACAACTAATGAAATGGATAAACATTGTGATTTTCACCATAATTTCCATATTAGATTATAGCTTATAATCTTATATGGAAGAGGAAATATTCCTTAGGGACGTATGTATAAAATCAAAATTCATTCAATACAAAAGGGGTCAAAGCCACCTATATATGGGGTAATCAACAAGTCTCAAGATCAACAAATGTCACTTACGAAAGAAAGATGATACATTGGCTTGAACATATATGAGAATCGTTTATGAATTTGAATTTTCTTAAAACTTAGGCAAGCATACAAAGACAAAACTCTTCATACAGATCGACTCTTCACATAATTGGCGTGAATAAACTTATCTAAAGAATTGATGGTCAAAATTTAACATAGTTGGTTATGGTTAAGAAACATATCAAATATAATGTTTGGAGTTTAAAAATAAAGTAAGTGCATTGGTCACAAGAAATTGAACTATATATTCTTTCTAAAGTTTATAGAATCATGAACATATACATGATCATTCGAAATGGCGAAGCCCCTTATAACCAAAAAAAAGTGTTGGCAGGGGAGTTTTTACATGATTTAATAGCTATTTTACTCTAAGGTTGTGTCGAAAGAATCAGAATTGCCAAAACTTTTTCAACCTACGACATTAGTATCATGAAATAGGTAATCTAGAGATAAGATCAGTGAAGGAATCTTCTTGGCAACGAATAGTTAGACCTCCCATAGGATGTTCAAACCCAAACTCCTCTTCTGACTGTCGAAGCAAATCTTGAAATAGAGGATGCTCCAGAAAAGATAATGGAACAACAAATCGAGTTTTTTGAGTTTCTCCAACATAGATAGCCAAGTAACCTTTTGGTACATCCAACTTACTTCGGTTGCAAAGTGCATGTAATTTGCTGAAATGTTTGGTTTTGGTTGTCAAAGAAGGAAATCGAATGATGCCCATGTCTTGGGAAGGAATACTAAATGAAGAAGGATACGAGGTGGGTTAAACACAAGAAGGAAATTCGGATTATTTTTTCTTTATCGAGACAATCTGATGCTAGTATTTATATTGAGTTGGCATTGGATGCCGAATTGAGGTTGGGAATAAATTTGCAACTTGGTTTGAGTATGTTGTGGCCCTTCATGTGAAAACCTAACATGGCTTTTCACATTTTTAAAATGCCTCCTTTAGTCATGTTGATGTACGGTGCACGTCTTCCATGCTTATAATTTTGTTTGACTTGGTTATTGCCTAATATGATACTTAAAGGCATTAAATAATTTCTCTTTCTTAAAATTAATATGTTAACAGATAAAGCACTATAGGCCCAAAAAAGTTTGAATGATACCAGGGAACTCGCAATGTTTTAAAAACCGGTTTTTTAGTTGAACCGGTATGGTGACCGGTTTCCGGTTCAACCGGTTTAACCGGTTCGACCGCCAAGTAAACTGGTTTCTTTAATTTTTATCTTTGTTCGTATTTTCCTATACATACATATATACATAAATCAAGAATTTGATGTTCATAAGTTCAAACATTAAAAATATAAATGGAAACAAGTTGTAGATAAATCTAAATACATTTAAATAACACATAACCATAAGTTTTACATCAATTAATGTGAATTAAAAAGAAAATAAAGTCTTAGATGAATACAAACGTATCAAAAACTTCATAACATTTATCATTTGTTTTTATTCATAAAAATTTTAATATATGTGAAAAAACTACCAAAGTTTATTATGCAAAATGTTTCAATTCCATGTATTTTTATTTAATTTAACCGGTTCAACCGGTTTAATTTAACCGGTTCAACCGGATTTTTGTGAAAACCGGCCGGTTCATTCCGGTTCAGAAATAGACATAAAACCGGTGATAGTTGAACCGTTCTCTTCTCCGGTTCCCGGTCCAACCGGTTCGACCGGTCGGTTCAAACCGATTCTTAAAACATTGGGAACTCGTTTAACAAAGGGTTGGCCTAACAGTATAAGGTGAAGGACAAATGTAGAAATATGTACACAGTAAATGTACCTATATTTTTTTTCCGAAACCCGATTCAATAGGTTCGGTTTATGGGTATTTCACTAAGGTTTTCGGGTTCCATTTTTGCTTTATGATGTAAACCAAACCTCAAATTATTTTTAAACTACCACAAGTCCTCATCTTTATAATAAATAAATATAAATATAATAAATAAATCTTATAAAGGATATCATTCGAATATGATTCAAAAAATATCATATACTTGCATTATATTTATTTGAAATTCGCTAAATATTTCAACTTTCAACTACTAAACTAAATTAATTTTCAAGTTCCTAATATTAATGTCATTTACTAATAACTTTTTATTTTCCTTTAAATTTATATATATCTAACCAGATTAGTAGTATATAAGTAACATTTTCTTACAAAAGACATTCATATTTTTGAAAATGTTTGTGATTCAAATATAAAGAGTTGAAAAGATATGAAGAGTCGAAAAAATAGGTTTCCTTGCATAAAAAAGTGAGAATTTTGTTATGTCTCTCCATATATCAAATATATTAAGCATATCTTAAGTTATATGTATTTTTTGTATGATTTTATGAGTGTTTAATATATTTTTTGAATACAAAATTTTAGAATATATGTTTTAGTGTTTTTATTTTCATAAACTTTTTATAACTTTTATAGGGAAATCTTCAGAAAAGTCCCAATATTTACGGAAAATTTACACTTTAGTCCCAATATATTTTTTTAACAAAAAAGTCCTGAAAACCGGCAAGAATTTGCAGTTTGACCCTTTTTGACGGGTTGAAACCGGTACCAAATTAATTTGGGACTATTTCATAAACTAACCCAAAATATTGGGACTTTTTTGTAAACAAAAAATATTAGGATTTTTCTGTAAACAAAAATATTAGGACTTTTCTACAAACAAAACCCTTATT